AGCCTGAGCTACATAGGGAGACCCTATCTCAAGAAACAAAACAAAAAGTCCCCTTGCTGGCCCCGTAAGCCTTCAGGAATGTATGTTGCCACTTGAGATAGTGGTGCTGGAGGAAAGTGCAGCATGATAAAGTCAATAAAAACATCCAGACAAATGTCCAAGTATAAAAGTTTTACTTGAGAATTATATAAAATAAAGATTGCAATCTAGGACACAGGCAGAGGCCAGAGGGGGCTCTGGAATGTCTAGAGGGCAACAAGAAGACTGAGATTTTACTGGGGAAAGAGGGAGTTGTGCAAGTTGTTTTGGGAGCAAGTTCATCGGCAGTTGCCAGATCCAACTTATCTGGAAGTCTGTTCAGTGGTGGGATATAGTTTGCAAGCTGGTCTGGAGAAATGTCCAAGCTGCAGAAGGTGTCTGGCTTGGTGACAGCCCTCCCCCCTGCCCCCCAGGTGCTCAGATCCTGAGGGAATGGAAGAGAACCTCTAAAATGAAGACCGCCGTCTCTCACCACACGCCCTGCTCTTCCGCTCTTCTGGAGGTCCCTGACTTCCGTTAGTTTGAATTACAATTGTTTGACCTTATAACGGTGCAAAAGTGATGCACTCAATGGAAACTGTACTTGGAACTATGACCCCTGCTCCTGTCCTGGCCGAAATGACACGGTACGGGCCTCTCTCATGCCACCAGGTGAGGCCGGGTGGTGAGTCAGGTGTATTCCATGTTTTCTGGCTCAGACATTTTTCAGTCTGCCATGGGCTTAGCAGGACATATCCTTGGTAAGTCCGGGGGCACCTGTAGAAGTTTATCCTGGCGGCGAGCAGACTGCACTGTTAGAGGAGAAAAGGCAAGGCTCATCACTTCATTACTGGATGTCAGACTCCCTAACGCAGCACTGCTGTTACCGGTGGCCTCGCCACCTGGGCACACAGCGGATGCCCTTCCTGGCTGTGGTTATTTAGACAGAATCTGTGAGTGGGTGAAGGAAGAATGGAAGGGTCCTGGGATTCAGAATCAGACCCCAAAACATTTGTCCCTCACCATGTGTGATATAAGCAGTAAAGTGAAATGGCTTGAGTAATGGCAGAAATCCATCTGCCCTTAAAGCTACTGATCGCAGTGTCTGTCTTTGGATCAGTTGTGTCCTTCATTAAGGTTTATGTCCAGATGTCCCCCCAAAGCCTCATGCCCTCATAGGTGGGCAGAGGGGACTCATCTGCATGGACCTGTCCTCTATGGCCCTGAAGCCAGCCCCCTTGGGAGAAGCAGAACAGCTGGACCTTGCCCGTCTGCAGAAGGGGTAAGGAAGGGGTGAAGTGGTCGCTGAGGTCTAGTTAGGCTAGGCAAGCAGGAGGAGAGGCTGCAGAGTGACCTGCAGGACCAGAACAATAACTCCGAGGCCTACAGGAGGCCCAGGGGGACAGAGCTGCCTGGCTCAGATGCTGTTAGAGGGACAGCATTCAGGCTGGGCTGGGTAGAGGTCTCTCCACTCCAGGAGTTGAGATTGGGTCCGGGGAAGAACCCTGAGAAAGCACAGGCTGCATTGCACACTCCTGAATAGGACCAAAGTGGCTGAGAGATTCTTGTAGGGGGCTAGAAACCCTGTAGATTAAGGTCTCTGCATCTGAAAATCACAATAAGCTATTAAAAGAAATAGGGCTCTGGGGGTCCATTTTTGGTATAGCTGTACAATTTGCACCTGTTAGTTATACTGTAACTAAAATGTGTCCTATAAAATGTGAGATGTGATTATAAAACAGCTTTTGAATTTTTTAAAAAATTCAACTCTGTAAAATTTCAAACACCTATAAAAGTTGGAAATACTGCCAGGGAGATAGCTCAGCGGCACAGCGCCTGCCTGGCAAGCACAAGGTCCTGAGTTTGATTTGCGGTACAAAAAAAAAAAAGTTGAGAAAACAAAACCTATGAATTCCAGCTTCAGTTGGGGACTCAGAAAAAAAATGTCCCCAAATTAGGACCATTTGATGGAAGCTTAAAGTTATAGTGAGGATGAGGAGAACCCAAGAGGAAGAGAGCCCCCAGGGACAACAGCAAGGGTCTGTCACTTCCTGGACACTAGCTAGGCTGTGGCCACTGAGACCCTGGCAGAGTGTGGGTAGAGAGCAGCACCCCAAGGGCATCTGTGACCACTGGTTAACTTGACAGGACAGCGGGACACACCTTCCTCTCCCCCTCCACTGCCTGCAAGGAAGCCAGGGAGCATGGGAGCAACAGATGTCGTCCACATGGACGGGCCTCCTGGGCTCTGACCAGGGTGGGGAGGGCAATGGACACATCCATCAGGCATAATCCATTTGGCAACACTCAGCTGCAAAGAGCATGTCAGTTCTCTACAGTTGTGTAACAAAGTACTACAAATTTATCAGCTTAAAACAACCACTTATCTCACATTTCTATAGGTCAGAACCTCAGCCTGGTGTGGCTCCCTGGGTCCTCCAGTTATTCACAGGGCTGCAGGGCTTGCAAGAGGTGGAGGGAAGAATCTGCTTGCATGCCCTTGTGGCAGAACCCAGTTTCTGGCAGTTGTAGGACTGAGGTCCCCAGTGCTGTCAGTCAGTTGTCCTCGGCATGCTGAAGTCACCTTGCTCCTTGGCTCATGACTCCCTGCCAAGCCACCCTCATCTCGCCTGCTTTGTTTTGCCTCATCTCTCTGCCTTTTCCCTCCCCGTCTGTTCCTAAGGGCCCAGCTAGATAACAGGGTAGTCTTTAAGGTCAGCTCATTCATGATTTCATCTACAAGCTCCTTTCATAGCAGAATCTAAATTAGAATCTTGAGATCTTCAGAATTCACCCAGCTACAAGGATAAGCATTTTGCTAATAACTAGTTTTAATTTTGTAGTGAACATTAACACCCCCCCCCAACCCAACCAGCTTTAGATACAACTCACATGCCCTACAATTTACCCAGTTAGTGTACATAGTAGTTTTTGGTGTATTTTTTAAACAAGAAATGGTAGAATATAATGTGGAATTTGTCCTTTTAGCCATTTTAAGTGTGCAATTCATTGGCACCGATTACACGGACAGTGTAATGCAGCCATCATCACTATGTATTTTCAAAACCTTGTCACTGTCCCCAAAATAAACACTCTATAATCTAAGCAACAACTCTCCATTCTTCCCTTCCTTCAACCCCTGAAAACCTCTAATCTACTTCTAGTGTTAATGAATTTCCCTATTCTACATTCCTAAGTGGAATCATACTATTTGTCCCTTTGTGTCTGATTTATTTCGAGTACCATAACACCTTTACCAGTTCATTCATGTTGTAGCATGTGTCAGAACTTCAGTTCTTTTTATAACCAAATTGTACGTGTACCCTGTATTTTGTTTATCCATTCATCCACTGATGGGCACAGGTTATTTGTACGTTTTGGCGAGGGTTAATTATGCTGCAATGAATATTGGGTTACAAGTGTCTGGCCCAGCTCCTCCTTTCATTCCTTCACATGGATAGCTAGGACAGGGACTCCCAGACTACATGGTAAATCTATACTCACCTTTCTGAGGAACCACCAAACTGTCTTTCAAAGTCTGTGCCACTTTACATTCCCACCAGCAATGCACTGTTCTAATTTTTTCACTTCAACTCTTTTTTTTTTGTAATAGTATTCCTACTGGGTATTAAGTAGTGTCAAACTTGGTTTTGATTTGCAAGTCCTTAAAGACTAATGATACAAAACTTTTTTCCACGTGTTGGGGATCAACTCAGGGCTTCCCATATGCTACGCAGGTGCTCCACCAGAGCTTCAGCCCCAGCTGGGAGGATCTTTTCATGTGTTTATTGCCAATTCTGTATCTTCATTGTAGAAAGATTCAAATCCATTATTCACTTTGGATTGTTTTTCAGTTGTTGAGTTGTAGTTCTTTATACTTCATATTAGTCCAAGATACACTTATATTTTCTCCCTTTCCAATGATTTTCACTCTTAATAGTATCTTTTGATGCACAAACATTTTAAGTTATAAAATCCAATTTACCTATTTTTTTCCTCTTCTTTGTGCTTTGGATGTCATATTCATGAAATTGTGGACAAATCTGTCAGGAAGATTTCTCCTACGTGTCAGCCCCTCGGGGATAAGCAGCAGCAATCAGTAACCAGTCTTCTATCTTGAATGTTTTGGAGAACGAAGTCTATTGCCTAGCCTGGCTCCAGCAAAGAACAGCAGGAACTTGGGCTGCGGTCCCTTTGGCTGCCTGCTGTGGGGCTGGGGGCTGACAAACACAACCAGAGCTGAAATGAACTGAACCGCATCAGCCTCCTCCACGCTGTCTCCTGGGCACGGCGAGCATTCCACTAGACCGAGTCCCAGAAGACCCGTCAGAGTTCCACCAGTTCAGTCACTCTTCTGACGGAGAAATGGATTCCCGGAGCTCCCTATTCCACTATCTTTTGGCGGCATATCACCTTGAGGTCACTAGGTTTTAAGGGTGATATAAAACACTGGAAATTTTGACCTGAATACAAGTTGATCCTTTCATGTAACTCACAAGGAGCCCTAATGACCAGGCTCCCCGCTCTGCAGCACCCGAGCTCTGAGTGCCCACTCTTGTGACCCCTAGGCACTTCCAAGTCGGAGGCCACTCTCACCCCACTGAGGGACACTTGGTGACACTGCTCGTTGGTGGCAGCTCAGAAAAGATTGGTGTCTCACTCCACGACCACCATCGGGGAAGCACCCTTCCTCCTCCTGCAGGCAAAGCAGGCGAACACAGCCCGCTGCAGAGCTGAGTCAGGAAGCTTTCTACTCCCTGCAGCTAGAACACATTGTCCTAAAGTGAGAACATTGTCAAAAGGGTGGTTTGGGATTTATGATGTAATTACTCTGTAAGCCAACTACAAGCCCCTAAGTTCTTCATAGACTAGGGCAGAAACACGCAACTCCTGACAGGACTCTCACACGGCAGGTCTCGGGGCTCCACGGCAAACCAGCTTCCCATTACAGCTCTTCATTTGAAAAAGACAAGGAGACTTTCTTATTTAAGAAAACATTTCTTTAATATTCTTCACTAATATTTGTACAGCTGTAAACTCAAGGAATCGTTCAATACTTGTGTACACTTTGGGGAACAGTTAATAAGCACCTTCAGTGATTTCCACAGTTTAAAACTTACCATTTAAGACTTTAGAATGAATCTAGTGAAATGAAGAAAACAGTTACAAACACTATACATCGTGATGAACACTTGATATGCAGGGCTTGATACGGGATGATAAATACAAAAAGAAAGACTAATGCATGGGGCTGGCTTCATATAAGACCCACAGGTTTCCCCAGGCTTGTAATTCTGAGGGATATAGTTGCCTCTCAAAAAACTCCAATTAAGGAAAGACTCTCGATTTGGGTTCTTAGGTCCCAGAAGCAGGTGAGGCAGAGGCAGGAGGGACAGGGCAGGGACCAAGTGCAGGGACCAAGTGCAGGTGGTGGTGAGGGGAACCTTTTGCTTAAGGAGAACAAATTCTTCCGTGTCCTTAGGGTAAGTGATCTTTGGCAAAAATGTAGCAGTTACTCTTTGGCATTATTTAAGGGTTTTTATTATTGGTGTTCTTAAACCTCCTTTGCCCCTCCCTCCTCGGGTTTCCACTCCTGCCCTTGATCAATCTCTTCTGATGCTTTCTACCCAGTCTTCTCTTCCCCCTTTACCCCCTGCTGTTCTAGCTCAAACTCCTTATGTTTAATTCCAACCCAAAATTTCCATTGTCTCAGGGCTCTGGGAAGCAGCTGGAAGACACAACACCAGCTACTCATATATTCTGGAAACAAACTGTTGAAACATAAATATGAAGTGTAGCAATAGTCCCTTGCGTTAGAGCAATGTACAACGACGGGTCTGAGCCGTTAGTATGAATACTCAAACATCCTCCTGGACTGTCTTCAGATGAGAATAGAGCCAGCAGAGCCAGAGGAGGGAGACACAAAGATGCTAGTTCACGGTTGAGAGCAAACCAGTACCCAAGAGGGGGGTCGGAGGTGAGGGGCTAGATGGGCCCCAGCCTGTGATCTGGCCCAGCCTGTGCCACACCTGGGTCTCCATAAGAATGGATACTGGCACCAGCAGCAGGGCTGGAGACCAGCACAGCACCACAGGCCAAATGCTGAGACACAGGTGCTTCTGGCAGAGGGATAATATGGTAATCTTTGGTATCATTTAAGGCACATTAAGATAACTCCTATTCTGAAATAGCTGACTCTCCATCTTAAAATTTCTTCCCAGGGCACTTCTTTGACATAAGCCTCTGACTACCAAAGGCCATTGCTGAACAGTCAGTATTTTATCCGGAAGGGCTGCTCATCATCATCCACCAGCTTCCATACAGTGCTAGAACTGGGTGGGTTTTGGTCAAAAGGCAGAGCATGCTCACTGACATCAGTGTCCTGGGCAGGCTGAAGGTGGTAAGGAACTGTGAAGGAGAAAGGTGGGAATAAGAGGGAAGTGAGAGCACCAAGAGAAAAGGAGCGGCAGGGCTAACTCCCTCCTTCACATCCTTGCCTGGGCAGGCCCAGCCGGCGTACTGAGGAGCTGACAGGATGGTGGGTGCCTCAGAACATAGGCCAAGCTCGGAAGACCCCAGAGAAGGGGCCACCCAGCCCTGTGGAGGGTCTGCTCACCCCTGGGGACCAGGATTGCAGAAAGGTCCTAGGACATGGGACACTGTTTTCAGCAGGGGCTCTGTAAGATTGTCTGAAGAATGAAGGAGACCTCCCACGTGAGAGTCCTGTCAGAAGTTGCGTGTTTCTCCCCCAGTGTGGGAGATCCAACCCCCATATGGAGGCAGAGACCTCATTACAGAAGCCTTGAGCAAATGTTTTAGGGAACAGAGTGAGGAAAGTTGTTCGGGCTCAGGCTGGGCTAGACCTGGGCCTAGTGGTCCCTCAGTGGCGGACAGGTATCTGTCTGGACCAAGTAGTTTCAAGTAGGGCACTGCTGTGAGACATGCGGAAAGGGGAGGAGGTGCTCCTGTCTTCAGTTCCGCTCGATACAGTCCACCCCTGGGGTGTTGTCAGGACAGCGGCAGGTCCGGCTCCCCGGGGTGGCCAGGCAGAGGTGGGTGCAGCCGCCATTGTTCACTGAGCAATAGTTGTGACCTGGAAAAGGCAGACGTCAGTCCACAGACTCCTCTCACTAACTCAACAGTTGTCTAGGGTGCAGCCTCCTGATTAGCCCCACTTTTGGGTTTCCCCAGAGGCCAAGCTCAAGGGCTCGGAGGAGGAAGGAGGGCTGTGTCGGCACTCAGCTAAGCTGAGCTACTTATTTCCTCCTCATTAAACCAGACAGGCAGAAACTGGCCATATAAATCCACGCACAAGATCTTGGGGAGGGTTCCCCAACCCCAACATGCAGCTGGGACTCTGTCTAGCTTGTACTCTTGGGTTCACACTGCCTGGAGCGGGGACGGAAAGTGAGGAGGAAAATGGGCTTAGAGAGAGGCCCTCAAGAGCAGCACAGCCTAGACAAGGATCCACCTGCTGCTCTGCCACAGTGAACGTGTGGCTCTGATCAAGTGGCTTCTGTTTTCTCTTGTATAAAAGGGGAATCGCAATAGCACCAACTCCACAGGGTCACTATGAAGATTACAACTCTGAGCCACTGTATGTAAAGTACCAGACTCACAGAAGAGTCACAGATATGTTTCACTTCTTCTTAAGCATGGCTGTTGCTGTTAAACCAAACAGATGAACATTTAAAGCAGCCAAGATGCTACGCTACCACCGAGGGCCTGTCAGGAATCTGAAGACTGTACTCTTGGAGACCCAGCCAGGGGTTAGGACTTTCCTTACCACGTCCATGTCATTTAATTATGGATCTGGCTCAGCACGTGTGGGGGTTAGGGTGGAGTTTCAACTTGATTAGTTAGGGATCTACCCTGGAGACTGAAGGAACACACTTGTAGGTGTGTCCTATGGGTCACGGAGGCCCAGGTTTGAGGTCTACGTCTGATCCCTCAGGGCTTCTGACCTGGCACTCTTCTAGTCTGCTTCCTGGCTACCGTGAACTGAGCATCTCTGTTCTGCCAAGCCCTTCCACCACGATGAATCTCCTTGCAGCAGCTGAGCATGGGCTGAACCAGGCAGCCAAATTAAACCTCTTCCTTCAATTGTGAGTGTCAGGTATTGTGACCAGCACCAGGAAAGCTAAGGCCCGTGCTGGAAGGGAACACATCTCTCCCACGGTGCGATCCAGGCTACCAACAGCTAGCATGTGGGCTCTGAACCTCATGATCCCCAGGTCCCCAAGAATGGTACCACAGGTGAGTTACCTTGGGGACACTGCGACAGGGTGGTGGTGATGCCATACGGCCGGCTCTGCTTGTGGGGGTGGAATGTGTCTGTCACTTTAGAAATTGTAAGGTCAACAGCAACCACAGAATTCCTGCAAAACATTCGAGGGCAAAACACTTCTCAACAGGACAGCCTCCTTCGTAGTTTGGGGACCATAAACAGACATGGTGGTCTTGCTCCCTAGCACCCCTCCCTCCTCCTGAGGGGTGGCAGGTGGTGTGTGTGGGTGGGGCAGTGTCAAACATGCAGTTCTTTCTTAAAGATGGGCAGAAATCAGCTAGCTCTAAATTCCAAGGGGGACACAGGTTTCTATACAGACAGCCCTAGCCAACTACCTCCTCAGCTTACTCCCTCTTTTGTGGGGAAATGTGGCAATACTACAGGTTAAGAACTATAATTAAACTGGGTGTAGTGGTACACGTCTGAAATCTCAGCATCCTAGAGTGCTTAGGCAGGAGGATTTCAAATTCCAGTCCAACCTGGGCAACTTAGTGAGATCCTGTCTCAGAATGAAAAATGAAATGGGCTTGGAAATGCAGCTCAGTGCAAAGGTCCTGGGTTCAATCTCTAGTACTGAAGAAGAAGAGGAGGAGGTGGTGGCATCCATGGCAGAGCATGGAACCCACCAGCCAAGTGACCCTGGGCCAGCTCCTAGGGAAAGAACAGAAATGCTCTTAGAAAGTCCCACTGTATAGTCTGGAAACTGCCCAGGAGCACGCAGATGACGCATGGTACCGCCTTCTCCCTCAGAGCCTTGTTTCCCCTTCTTCTTAACCCAGATCTTTGAAGGCTCAAAGGTCTACACAAGAGTCAGAAGGGAAGGGCCTGGCCTCCTGGAGGCCCAGGGCAGGGCAGCAGCCCACATACCTATTCCAGTCTGTATAATACAGATTCTTCCCAAAGCTTGTCACTGCAAAAGGGTACTCAAGTCCTGGGAGAACCTTGCGTCTGCTGGGCTGACTCGGGTTCAGGCATTCCGCCTGATGGGTGCCTGCGTGTAGGAAGAACAAGCTGTTCATTGTCCATGCAAGAAATGGGCCCTTTGTGTCCCAGACTGAGGGTAAGGAGGCCGAGAGTGGGAGAGATTCAGCACCGAAGCAGCAGACCCTGGAGACCTCAGGGCTCGCTCTCAGACATGGGCACACTGTCCCTTCTGGTGTTCTTGCTTCTTTCTCCTGCCTACACCTACCTATGTCCCAGCGCCCAACCCCGTCCCAGGATGTAAGGCAGGGTGCCTTACCTCCACCAGCTCAGCCTCCTGTCTCAGATCAGGGGCTGCGCCATCTCCACCTCTTGCTCTATTAAGGATCTCTGGACCCTGACCCTTATGGTTAGGGCAATTACAAAGGTGCTGCCTGGCAGCATTTGTGCCATCACAGTGGCCTTCCTGAGGCCTGTGTGGTCACTTACACAGTGTGATTAAAAAGTACAGTGAATGTTTAAATTTGGAAAAAAGTGTTATAGTAAAAGCCATACTGCCATTAATCGCCCTCAGAATATTCCCTCTCACTTCAAACACATTTATCTCATCACTCTTGGCTCTTCCTGAAGCAGTTCTGGAAGTTCCCTTCTGTGAGTGGCCTTAGTTATGCTGTTGTAGCTGCCTCCACATCCCAAATAGATTCAAAACACTGACCTTCTAGCAAATAAATATATGGAAAAATGTTAAACATCACTGGTCATTCAAGAGATGCAAATTAAAACAACACTGAGATTCTATCTCACCCCAGAAAGAATGGCCATCATTAAGAAATCAACCAATAACAAATGCTGGCAGGGCTGTGGGGGAAAAAGGAACCCTTCTCCACTGCTGGTGGGAGTATAGACTGTGGAAATCAGTGTGGAGATCCCTTAAAACACTAGCACTACAGGTTCCACTTGACCCAGCCATTCCTCTCCTGGGTATCTTCCCAGAAGAATCAAAAGCATCAAACCACAGTGACATACGCACACCTGTTTATAGCAGCACAGTTCCCAACAGCCAAATCTTGGACCCAACCCAAGTGCCCATCAACCGAGGAATGGATAAAGAAGATGCAGGTTTTTTCTACAATGGAGTACTTCTTTGCCATGAAGAATGATACGCTCGAGATATTTCTAGGGAAAATAGATGCACCCTGAGTCCATACGCTCAAGTGAAATAAACTGGACACATATGTGTGAATACCACATTGTTTCTCCGGTGTGAGAAACCAAGAGTGTAAATAAGGACCAAAATATGTATTCTTTATATGAGGAAAATGTTCAAGTGGGGTAGAGAGGTGAGACAGAAAGGAAAGAAGGGAAAAGTGAAAAAAAAAGAGAGAAAAAAAAAAAAGAGAAAAGGAGGAAAACATGGAAACAAAGCTTTATAGACGGGAAGGGGAAAAGACTGAGGGTATGGGAATGGGGAAAAAAAACAAGTAATATCATGTACAGGTACAAATTCTCTTTGATGAATGCGATCATTATATATACCTCAAATGTACCAATAAAATCTAATTTAAAAAACAAAAACAGCTGGGCATGGTGGCACACCCCTGTAATCCCAGCACTTGGGAGGCTGAGGCAGGAGGACCACTGAAAGTTCAAGTACAGCATGGGCTACAAAGTGAGCTCAAGGCCAGCCTAAACTGCATAGTGAGACCCTATCTCAAAAAGACTAAATAAATAAATAAATTAATTAATTAAAAATGACAACAATAACACAGGGAAGTGCCAGATCCAGTGAAGAAGGTGATGAGGACACACTGTGATGTTTCTATGAGCCCGCTTTTTCACTGTGTGGCACTCAGTAGCAACACTCACCATATCTTCTATTACATCTTATAAAGACGCTCACAAAAGGAGACCTCCAGAACCGCTTTAGAAAGTGGCAGAAATGGGGGCCAGGTAGATAGCTCAGTGGAGAAGCACCTGCCTTGCAAGAGTGAGGTCCTGAATTCAATTCTCAACACCAAAAAGGACAAAAAGTGGTAAAACCAGTGTACAAACCAAGGGGACTACTGTATTTTGAAGGACATTAACGGCAATGTTTCTTTTTACTGTAATTGATCTTTATATTCAAATATTCACCATATATTTTGATCACCCCTTGGCAGTGCTCATGCCCTCCTTATTCTAACTGGACAGGGACAGAGTCCTGCCACTCTGCATCCCTGACATCTGACACGGACCTTGGAACAGAGCAGGTACTCAGCAGAGACTTCTGCAGAGGGGGACAGTGGATGCTCCTGCCTATATCCCAAGCCTGAGGGGCACCTGCATCTGGCAAGGAGGAGCACATGCCAGGGACTGCACATAGGCTGCTCATGTTGTAACTTCTTGGACTCAAAGTCCGGCTGAAGCCATGGGGGCCAAGGGAGCTTTGGAAATGTTAAGCTGTGAATCACTTGACAGATGTAGCAAGCCTGCAGGCCCCATGTGGTACCACTTAGAATAGGGGACAGCCAACTCTTTTTTGAAGGAGCAGATAGGAATTATTTTAGGTTCTGTGGGCAAAACCAAAGATGGTATCCAGGTATTGCTATATCCACTTAAAATGTAATATTTCACAGTATAAAAACTGGGTCAGAGCATCTAGGTTACACAAAAACAGATAGCAGGTTAGATTGGGCCTGAGAGTCACAATTTGCTAACTCTGGACTGAGAACTCTCCCAGAATAGCATCAAGCCTTACGTCACCTGCATCAACCCAGCAGAGTTGCGATGAGAATGGGTCGAAGGTCAAACCATTGGGCAAGATCAGATCATCCTGCGCAAGAATCCTGCGGTTTGTGCCGTCCATGTAGGAGGTTTCAATTTTGGGGTTATCTCTGTTCCAGTCTGTCCAGTAAAGGTTCCTGGAGGAAGAAAAAGAAGAGAAAGGAAGAGAAATGCTAAATATGTACAGGAGAAAAGTTTATGTTTTTAAAGAATCTATAATGAAGAGACTAGCAGACATGAAAACAGAGCAGTTAAACAAATGGCTTCTTTTCCAAGGACATTTAGACTTGGTTCCTCATCTGAATTTGGAATCAACAAATTCAGTTCCCTAACATAGCTCAAAAAAGGATAACAAAACGTCACAAGTGACATAAGTATATGTTAATTCTCCACATACCACCACCATACAGACCCAAGGGACCAGAAGGCAAGCTGCAGACACCGGCAGAGGCAATGGTTAAAGCTCTACTACCCAAGAGGTAGCTGATAGCCACAGCACGAGGAATGTGCTCTCAAAGGGAGGGGGTCAAAGTGTTGGGGAGCAAGACTGCAAGAGGGGGAAAGAAAGAGCAGAAGCAGCGATGTGCTGAGAGCTGCATGAAGTGTCCAGATGGTCAAGCTCCAGGAAGGAGCCCAGGGACGCATGGGGTTCAGTCACGTAAGTATGGATCCACACTCCACCCGTGCAGAAAATACCCCGTTTCTAAGCTGACAACTTACAAAGTCTCTTGGCAAGAGATTTTAAAATGGAGCATGGTGTGACGTCTGCATCATAATGAATGTGCGGGCTTTCTGCCAGCTTGCAGGACACCTGCCAGTCACCAATCATAGACTCCGTCATCCCATACTCACCCACCTCTGGACAACAGCGCGGGTGTTAGAGCCTTACATCTGAGAATATCCAGAAGGGCCAGATGGAAACATAACAAAAGACACAGAAATACCCTCTCACGGGATCCGTTATGATGCTTCTGGGATTCACCAAATCACTATCAAACAGCACTCGACGCTGTGTGCCATCCAGCTTGGCAACTTCTATTCGATCCAAGTGAGAGTCCGTCCAGAACATGTTGCGGCCAAGATGGTCAATGGCAATGCCTTCGGGGCTTCCCAGATCTAGAGCCAGACACAAAGCAGGTGAACTTTTCCTTTCTTTTGAATCATCTGTGTCTCTTCTTCCCTCCCTCTCTCCTTCCTCCTCCCTTCTGTTTTTCTGTAGTGTTGGGGCCAAAACCCAGGGCCTTGTCCCATGAGCTGCACGCCCAGCCTTAAATTAGACTTTGCTGATTACCCAGTGCTGTTTCACAGGGTATCCAATCCTTACACTGTGAAAAACCAAGTGGGAATCTACAAAATTACTGCTGTTCATAAGATAAGCAATTCTCAAAGTGACAAATGAAAAAATGCCTTCCTTGTCCACGCATCGCGTGTGGTGGTGGGAACCAGGGCAAGCAGAGACTAACTGTGGCCTCGGCCCACAGCCTACCACAGATCGAACCAGGTTCCAGGTTCTATGGGAGCCTTGAGAAGGGATCCAGCCTGCAGAGGTCGGAGAAGGACTCCTGGGAGCGGGGGCAGGCATCTCCAAGGCTGGCTACTAGAGGGCACCTAAGTTTGTCAGGCAAAGATCCTGGATGACAGTTTTTGGGGAGCAGGGCCAGCACATGGGTATAAAGGAAGATGGGAAATGGGCTGAAATGAAGTGCATGTAATTTTCTACAGCTGCAGAACATGAGCCAGAGACGAAGTGAGGATGCTGCGCATGGTGGTGGACCTCTGTGATCTCAGCACCCTGGGAGGATGAGACAGGAGGATTGCAAGCTTCAGCCCAGCCTGGGCAACTTAGTGAGTCCCTAACCATAGAAAGGGCAAGGGATGTAGCTCAGTGTGAAGGCCCGAGGTCCAGTTCTCTCCGTATTGGTGGGGGGGATTTAGATTTTATCACATAGGTAAAGGAAAAGGTCTTTAGATGGAGATGGGACAATAAATCTTCCTTCTTCCTCTTTCATTAATTATGGGGAAAGATATTTCAGGGCAATAATATTTTCAAGAAATGCAAGTGTAAGGGGTGAAAGGAAGGGGTGCCACTGATTACAAATGAACCCCCCCACCACAGTCCTCACTGGGCGACAATGGTGTTTAGGCCAGAGCTGGCACCAAGCACCAGAATCTTCAGTGTGAGCACTCAGCATTCATCTAGCTTTATCTGAAATTTAAGAGTCTAATAGTTTTCTGGCTATAAATTCAAAACATTACAATGACATTGTGCAATTGTTATTATCACTTAGGATTTTTCCGCTAACTGGTCAGGGGCAGGAGGCCTCATGGCATAGCCGGGGGAGCAGGCAGGAAGGGGAAGAGGCTGCCCTACTGAGAGGCCTGCGGTTCTCTCATCTGTGTACAGGGAGTCTAGCACTCAGCCGTGCCTGGACCCCCAGCACGTCAAAGCCACTGATACTAGAAGTGATTAAGAAGTAGAAACCACACTTGAACAACATCTTTATTATTCAAACCCAGAGTAGTACTTTGGAAAGGATCACAATCTTTCCCACATCCTTACAACCCAAGGGACAGTAGGAGTGATCTCCAGAGGAGACATCTGGCTTTCAGACAAAACTGGAGTAATCCATTCTGGAGAATACTTAGAATGAACTGGTGAGAGATGGGAACCACATGGACACACAGAGCAGAGGAGAGATGGCCTAAGATGGCCTTCACAATACCTGGAGGCACCCCCAGGAGCACCAAGGCATAGCATTTCCTCTAACACAGCCTGATCCTGACCTGAAACCCAGGAGACACGGAGGCCTCTCACTCCCAACCAGGAAAACACTACACTTTTAAAGGAAGGGCCTAAACCTTACCCCTTGCTGCACAGAGGAACAGGGTAAATAGCATGGTGGTGTTTTATTCTGTACTGCCCTGTCAAAAGGAACTGATTATGATACTCACTAAAGATATCAGGGATAAGATTTCAATGCATGAAAAGAAAGAATCCCAGGATTCTGAGTGTATGAAACCAAGAGGAAAAGGTAAGGGTACACACAGCACCGAACTCCCAGCAAAGCACCAGCCTGCACACCTTGCTAGGCAGATATAGTTCCTGAAAGTTGCTCTCCACCCCATCCCTGTCTCTGTCTCTGCCTGGTGATCTTTCAACTACAAAGGCCGCATTTTGGTTGAATTCTTTTTTTTTTTTTTTTTTTGGTTGAATTCTTAGGCTTTCAAGTAAGCAAGCTTTTGCTTGGAAGGTTTCTCACAGTGTTTAAAGCATTCTTGGATGATTATCAGCTCCAGAAGCAACAGGAAATAGCGAGTGATGACCTACTCTCTCCTTCTACTGGGCTTTCAAATCAAATTGGAGATAATAACATTTTCGACAGAGATAAGAGACACAAAGGCATTTTCGAACTTCTGTTTGGTAAGCCAAAGCATAACAACTAGCAGACATCATTGAAATGGCCTCTGTTTCCACAAAAGGATTCAGGATTTAAATGCAAAGCCAGAGAGACTTAACCCAGCCTTGGCTCAGTTCCCACTACAGCAGCTCTAGGGAGGCAGCAAAGGGAAGAAAGAAGTGCTTCTTGGGGATCCTTCCTGCACAAAGACCCTTGCAGAGTAACTATTACTAGAGAAACATTAAATCAGAAAATGCGAAGTCTCAAGCAAAATGATACACAAATGGAACTTATGTATTTTAAAGATAAATCTCTGGTTTGAAAATTTTACAGAGGAAGCAAGATTTTATACAGTAAGTATCAGCATGACAAATCTGAACAGAAATATTCCCAGGTCAGTGGATGAGTCATGACTTGAGCAAAATGTAATTCTTGACAGACCCGAAGATTTTTACAGGCCTTAGGCTTTTTGCTACAGGGGCCTTTGATCTAGATAAAACATACCCATATGAAATGGTCTTGATTTGTTGAGCACAGGCTTTAAAATACTGCAAAGTCCTGGGGGCTCATACTAGCTTCCTTTGGCTGAGGCAATCCAAGCAATCAGTGAGGTACAGAAGAGAAGCTACCCTTAACCCCACTATACTACAGGGTAAAATGACAACCATTTACTCAACAGCTGTCTTGGGAACAGACTCAACTCCTAAGGTCAGTGTTTGCCAAACGACTTGTGACTCTCCCAACTTTGTGATTCATCTGCCTGTCTCCTTTGAGGCGCTCCTCATGGAGAACATGGCGGAGTGGCCACACCAGGCTCAGGAGCCAAAGAGGGACATACACATTAATCGGCATGATGAGTTTGACCTTTATGGCTCATGAAAACGGGCTTCAGGTGCTATCAGAGAAAGGTACAGACACTTGCCCTGTTTTGATTTTATTCTCCTGAGCTAGCAATAAATTTCAGCTACCATGTCCCTGGATTCAAGCGTCCCCTTGAGGGATACTTCAAAAGAGATGGAAAGGTAGTGCTTTGGGACACAGGCCCAGTCTCTTGCGAACGATCACACCTGATGAGTGGCCATACATTCCACCTGCCACCTCCTACCTCCTACCAGCAGCTGTATGAGCTGCTATAAATAGGACCAAAAAGGGGTGTCGTCTGCCGGCCTACCGTGCTGGACGATGGTGGCCGGCTCTCCGCCGTGCAGGCTAGCTCTCCCGATGCAAGGCTCAGTGATGTCTGTCCAGTAAACCATCTTGTCCACACAGTCATAGGCCAGTCCAATGATGATCTTCTCCTGCAAGTTAAGGGCATGGTGAGCTTTGGAATGAAGCACGTTCAAGTCTGTTATCTATGTAAAATCTTGCATTACTGAATTGCAGAGCTTTACATATTTCACATAAAACTCCTTCCCCATATCCACACGCATATGTACATGCAGGAATGTGTGTACATGTACACTTCCTCTCATCTGAAGCTTGCCTTTTCATTTTCTTAATTGTGCTAGTTTTGAAGGGCAAAACTATAAAATATTCATTGTCCAATTTATTACTATTTTTCTCTAATGGCTAATGATTTTTATATACTGCCTAAGAAATCTGCCCACTGCAAGTTTATAAATGAAATGCAAAATATTGGAGGGGAGGAAGTAAAACCTCTACACAAAGATAATGCATGTTTACTGGGGAACCTATGAAACTATTATAATTGAATTGAGCGAGACTGCTGAATATAAAGTCAATATAAACCTGTATGTCCATAATGTCACAAAAAATAGAAAATAAACTTTTAAAAATGTTTATATTAGCCTCAAAAATTCACAAAATACTTAAGAATAAAATTTGTAAATGTGCAAGAGTCCATACCAAATACTATAAAACACTGCGAAGTAAAATTATAAAATTGAAGTATATGAAGTTAGTGGAGTGTGAGATTTAATATTGCTGAGATTATATCAGTTCTCCCTCAGCACAGTTATAGATTCAGTGTCATTTTATCAAAGTCCCAGCAAGCCTCTTTTTTAACTTGTAGAGATTCACAAGCTTATTCCAGAATATTATACAGAAATGTGACAAAATCTGAAAGTCAAAACAGTTTCAAAAAGTTGGAAGTTGGAAGACTCACGTCCATGATTTCGAGATTGCGCATACTCGAAGCAGAGTGGCACTGTCATGTGGCATGGCAGAAAGATCAACACAACAGAACAGGAGGCCAGAAACAGACCCTGAGTCACATAGTAAACTGTTTTCTCATACGGGCACCAAGGTGACAAGGGAGAAATCATTTTTTTTCCAGCAAATCATACTATGACATCCGGATCAACATGTGGGAAAGACTCTCAGTCCTGCATGGGGACATGTGGTTGTAACCCCTGCATTCTGGGAAGCTGAGGCAGGAGGATTAAAAATGTTTGAGCCCAGCCTGTGCAAATTAGCAAGACTCTGTCTCAGAATAAAAACTAAAAAGGACTGGGGATGTGGCTTACTGCACAGAACCCTATTTCAGTCCTCAGCACTTTACCTCCAAACCAGAAAGACTCTCAACCTGACTCTCCACCATACACAAAAATTAAAAGCTAAAACTATACAGTTCCTAGAAGAAATGAGAAGAAAAGATCTTTATATTCTTCTGAATAAGTTTACCTGCCAGAATAAGCCTATAATAATAGACAGAGCACTCCAGACTATAAAACTGTACTTCTAAATTTATTATAGTGTATTGTGAATAGGCACATGTTATAAATTTATATTTAGATATAATTCTCTATTAAATTTATATTACAAACTTCAATTCTGTCATATTATGAATGGCATGTATATAGGTACTAACCATCCAGGTAGCCTCTGCACGGGGAGGGCAGACACAGCATCCCAAATCATCATGACCAAGTGCCCGGGGCACCTGTGCACTCTCACTGCACCCCATGATCATCCTCTTCTCTGACCCCCAACCTTACTAAAGAGACCATTTCCTGCAGTAAACACACCCAAGAATCTCTGCCTACACACTGATTCTTATGAAAGTGACAGAAAAGGACTGGGGGACAGAAAGCTGAGTAACTTTTTTAAGTTTAACAAAAATCAACTGGGCAACACTTGCAAGAGACACTGAGCGTTATGAAGATACCTGGAGTAAGCCAACTTCTCCTTGAAGAGGGAGCCAGTTATTTGCTAATGATTCATGAACAGGTATTTATTGAGTGCTTATGACAAAGATGCCTTTGCTTGGCCTAAACTTCAGGGAAGCACTTGAATCTCCCTCCAGGCCCTTCTATACACTTCCTTGGAGCCCTTGATTTCAGTAATGAATGCTTCTAATCATTTAGTTGAGCAAAAAACTGGCACCATCAAGATCCGACCAGGTGCCTCGCTCCCAGCTGATGGTTGATACACTGGTCTGTCTTCAGCAAGATCCCTGTTAAGTTGGTTATGCCAGAAACCCTGTGGCTACTGATTCTTCACAGTCACTTTCTATGCACTGACCCCACCTGCTCCTTGGTTATAAATCCCCAACTGCCCGGGCACGCTCAGTCAAACCCAATCTCTTCCTCCCTGCAAGACCTGGCAGCTGTGGTGCCTGTATCCATCAAGATAGTCCTGAATAAAATCATCTTTATTGTGCTCTGATGAAATATTAAAAAATGGTTTTTCTTTAACACCCTTATGAATGAGATGTGATAAAAATATGGTGAATGTTTAAATAAAAATCTATTACAGTAAAAGATACATTGTGACTAATCCTCCCTCAGAATATTCCCCCTCACTTTGAACACACATATCCCTTTATTCTTATTATTTTCTGAAGAAGAAGTTCTAGGAGCCGTCTTTCATGAGTGTCTTTTCATGGTTTTCTTGATGTCCTAAATCTAAACTGATTTAAAACATTTACTGCAGGGGCTGGGGATTTAGCTCAGCGGCAAAGCGCCTGCCTGGCAAGCGCAAGGTCGTGAGTTCGGTTCCTGGTACCGGAGAAAAACCAAAAAACAAAACAAAACAAAAAGAAAGTCATGCTGCAAATGTTTCTCTGGAATAATGTCAGCAGTGGCAGATGTATGTGTAACATTCTTGAAGTAAATAAGAACTGCCTTGGAATTTACCAAATA